CTTCATCCCTGAATTGTGCTCAGATTGTGAAGTACCAAGATGATTTCTCTTGACACAATCACCGGTCAACATGCTACTGGATAAGTCATTTCTCTTGTGGCAGTTGACTCTTGCTTCCACAGGGTATTCAAGCCTCTCTTCTCTGACAAGATTGAGCTCTTCACCGATTATTCATTGTGCAAACTTACTTGATGTCAATCAGTTGTTTTGTATGCAGAGGAATGTTTTTTATTAGAATGATAATTCTAATGTAACACATATGTAAGTCTTGAAGTTTGAAAAAACTTTGAATGAAATGACGTCACAACTCTGTTGTGAACGAGTCACTAGCTAGAGAGAAACATTTGAAAATTCTTTTTTCATGAAAGATAATGCAAGCATATGATGCCAACACAGATATTGGAACGTACCTCTTAGGAGTCAGTTAAACGCTATCTCGCTGTAGCACGCTTGCGAATTGACCCATGCTTCAATTAGGACTTTTATGGGTTGTAACGTGGCCTGGTTCACGGTTTTTAGAAAAAAGGATTTAAGGCTCAAAATTATTTGGTGCCCACCCATTCTCCATGATGTTCTCCATTCCTACGTTCAGTTGACCCGATACAAGCATTCGTCTCTCGAGAAGAGTTTGTGATGATTGAGGAACCACTGAGGTTTCTTGGACACGACAGTCACTAACTTCTTTTGCTTTTGGTGTTTGATCACACGACTTTGTTCTTTGATGAGGATTTTCATTGGTAATCCTTTTCTCGCCTTTTAGGCTTTTCAATTTCTTTCTTGCTTTCCCTAATTTTTGCCTAGACAAATTCTTTTGAATTTCGATTTGGATGTCCAGCGGGATGCCCCAATTTTTGCCTAAGTGACTTGTTTTCATGTTTCGACTTAGCGGGGATTTTTGTTTCTTTCTTATTCGTATTTCCCATTTTGAACAAGTCGTTGATCTTTGCGTTGTTTTTGATTTGTCGGAAGTGATCGTGACTGCCTGAATCTCTAGTGGATGATGGATAGCCATTATTGTATCGTCATTTGTTGACCTTTTAACGTGCGAGGGATACTCATTGGGGTATCGTTAATAGACGCACATTATTGTTAGATGAGGATTAACCATTGTGGTTTTGACTTTTCTCAATCTTTTGATGGATAACCATTGTCGTATCCTTGGATGCACACTCTTGATGAGTTCTGAATGCTTGAACAGATTAGCTGAACACTACCCGCCCCAGGGTTGAAATGAGGGTTTTTTCTGAATAGAAAGAAAACTCCTACTTCGAAGGCTCAGAGGGGTTGATGAGGGTCTATCTCCCTTATATCTCCGGTGTTTGGGGATTAAAACAAGGCCTGTACATCGTCAGCAGGGTCTTACTCAAAAGCGTACCAACCAAAGATTTTGCGTTTTCAGATTGTCATCATCCTCCTTTGAATCTTTACCTAAGCATAAGACTAGGAAATCTGGCATCAATATGCAAGCAAAACATTTAAAGAGTGATAACAAATGGATGAGTAAAAATGAAAGGAACACTTCAAGACAAGCATACTTATTGCATTAAGATTTTCGTTCAAAAATAGACAAGTTTCTATATACAAGCGATGTTTAAACAAACAAGCAAGAATGCAAATGAAAATGCAGTAAAAAAACCAATGATTGCCATTGTTGAGGAGACTTGACTCCGTATGGACTTGCTAATTTTGACGACTTTCTGTAGTCTTGATGCTCAAGTGGGCGACAGAATTCCCTTTCAGATCATGTGAACACAGTAGTCTCTGGATTGAGCCTGTCTTGGACTTGGTCTCTGGATGACATACCATCTTCAATCGATTGGCCAGGTGCCCCAGTATAATATGCATCACCAAGCACATCATGTATTAAAGAAATAATAGACATCACCATCAGAGTTTCCATGAACTGACTTATCTGAGTCTTTAATCCATTATCTTCCCGCTTGAAGAAGTTTTTGACTACGAGCCAAAGCTTGCATGTACCACTCGGAGTTATTCCATCACTGATCTCTGAGCATGTGTGGAGAGAAATCAGGTTGAACCTTTGAAGAGAACCCCAGGTCTGAATAAGAATCCCCAATCTTCGGATACCTGTAATGAATGCATGAATATGCATGGGGTGCATGAATGAATGTCATGTCATGTTCTGTCATTTCTAAGGAAATAACAGAACATGTATGTTAAGCATGTGGTTAGCCATGTTATGTATGCAAAGGCATGGGATCAAAGAGGACCAGGGTTCCATCATTCCTGAATAAGATTGCTGCACTGCTCTGAATCATGTGAGTATCATCATATTAAAGGTCTGACATAGCTTCCGCATATAAGAACCAAGTACCCTGTGGATCTCCCATTGTACGGGGTCAAGGCTTCTTGAACATCGGATACTATTGAGCATTTTATGAATATGCTGGGAATACCAAGATTGAAGGATTGAATGAACCTCCAGGTAAACAAGTCAGGATCTCAGAAAATAAATCTGAGAACCACACGGTCACCAACAAGATATAGCATCTGCATCAAGTCATAACAAAAATCCAGAATATAGCCATCAGAACCAGTAGTCATTGTCTAAGCATAGTTACCATCTGAACACGAGTAACCATCTATACATAGTCACCATATGCACCTGTGATAGAAATTCCCTCCCCACTCACGGGTGAAAACTAGGTCCGGGTAAGATAATGGTAACTCGAAAATCACGGGTTCGCCTGAAAGTGCTATGGGCTTGCCCACAGACGTGGGTGCCGATAGTAATTCATTTGAACCTCATCCGAGCGTGGTATATGACATGACTGCACTAATCGGACCACGTCCTATAGCCGTCATGCCCCCACTCTATTCCTAGGTGTCCTAGTGCACTCTGGCCTGGGTACTGGGCCTTTTACCTCAATAGTAGCATCCCCACCCAACATAGAGAACAAAGTCTAGCATAATAGATAACAAATATGGAAAGCCATAAAATGCAATGCAAACTTATGCTCAGATAAACATGTACAAATGAGTAAACCGAAAGCATAAAAATAAACACCCTAAGGAAAGAAAAGAAGAGCTAGGAGCGACTCTGGGATGGACCAGCATTTGGTCGACCTATTCCCCAGTGAAGTCGCCAGCTGAAACAACCGGCTGAAAATCATCAAACAATGAAGTCGCCATCGAACGTCTTTTATCCCACATGTAGGGAAAGGTAAACATCGAGAAAACCTGAGAAGGGAGAAGTCACGGTCTTGCAACCGAGAGATCGGGTAAGGGAGTCTGTTACACGAGGGGAAGGTATTAGCACCTCACACGCCCGTAGTACTCTACGGTATCCACTCTTGTTATCTATCTTATGGGTGTGTTTAATCTATGCTTACTGTCTACTATACTACTGGAGGGAAAATGCATGCAAAAGAAAGGAGAAAAGAATGTAGGGAAAATAAAATTATGCTCGTTTGGGCCCTACCCCAATGCCTACGTATCCGTTTTGAGGAATCAGAGCTACCGTAGTTCGGCTCATATTTGTTTGTTTGTTTTGTGTTTTTTATGGACGAAGTTAATTCCGCCTTCTGCCGCAGCTCGACCTTTGGAGACTTATGCATTGGCACAGAAGTAAATTAATCATGTCCTTCCCTGAAAAGGGTTTTTTAAAGAAATGGTGCTCGAGCGCACAAAATATTTGTATTTGATTTGTATTTTTGTTGTAGATGTTTTTTTATGGACGAAGTTAATTCCGCCTTCTGCCGCAGCTCGACCTTTGGAGACTTATGCATTGTCACAGAAGTAAATTAATCGTGTCCTTACCTGAAAAGGGTTTTTTTTTAATGAAAGGTGCTCGAGCGCACAAAAGATTTGAATTTGTTTTGTATTTTTGTTGCAGATAATGACTAGTCGACCTCAAGAGAGAGATATTAGCCATTTTTCTACTTAGTCATGAAAGGAGTCTTTGAGAATTGAACCACACCTATGTTTGAGATGAAGAACAATAAGATCGAGAAGAGACTCGCTTATCATTTCTCGTACTAAGCAAAAGCATGATTCTCATCAATAGTTTTAAAGTGTTTTGAATTTTGAAAGAAAAAGAAGTTTTTGTTTTAGATGCGTATGCGAAAGGAGAAAGAAAAGTCAAAAGGAGACTAACTTACTTATAAACCTAATGCTATTATGTATTGTTATACCTAAAGTTAGAATTTTGAGGGAATTCTACCTAATGTTAGTATGTTTGAATTTGAAAGCCTAATGTCTAATTTTAATTTAATTAAATCGAAGATTAAATTTGAACCAAAATCTCCTAAGGAATCATGAAACAATATACGAACAAGTAAAATTAGGCAGCAAGTATCAAAATATCGCATATAATCCATACCAAAAATCGCAAACGAAACCCATGACATAAAAATGAGTAAAACTAATGATTAAAATTGAAAAGAAAAAAAAGTGAGAGAAGTGAAAAGAAATCTCTTTTATTTACCAATATCGCCAAAGAAAATAAATCACCAAAATTAATGGCGAACGCAATCGAAATAAGTATTGAAAATAAGACCCTAGGAGGTGCAAGATGGATTCAATATATGCTGCAAAAAATAGAATGACATTAGGCCCATCAAAATAAACCCAAAAGAAAATATTTTTTTATAGTAAATAAACCAAAAAGCAACCAGAAAAATTCGTTGGGCCCAGGAATCGATTGGTTTGGTCCATCCATAGCATCCCTCAACCCATTCTAAATTCCATTAATCATCAGAATATTCTATTATAATTATATTTATTTGAATTAAAAAAATTAAAACATATAAAAAGAAAGTAAAAAAAGAAAAAGGGAGCTGAATGAAAATAAAAAAGGGAATTTAGGGTTGAAAGATAGAGTTGTTCTCTTCTTCTCCGTAGAGCGGCACCGCGAACTCGTTCCTCTGCCGCCGTACTCCTTCATCCAATCTTCGATGCTCTCATATCTTCTCCAATCTACACCGAAATAAACCTCCATGCTCACTCTCTTCGTTCTCCGTCTCCATCTCCGTCGCGAAATGGTTTCTGATTCCATCTCCGTCGCGCCGGTAATCGCCCCTGACGGCGGCAAACTCCGATCCCGGCCGCGATTCCTTCAGGTAATGATCTCTTTTCTTCTTCTCGTTCTTCTTCATGCGGTTTTCGAATTGCTCAATTATCATGCGTGTTGATGTTGTTGTTGATTTCGTGGGTGAAAATTATTGTTGAAGAATGAAGGTTGACGACGAAGAGCGAAGCGGTTGCAATGATTGTGATTCGGTTCAGAGAGAAAGATGATTGTTGGAGGTTGTTGAGGTTGACGGATTGAAGAAGATGGTGATGGTATGAAGAACGTGAGATTGATGGTGATGATTGTAGATGAAGAATGATGAAGAGCGATTTTGAGAGAGTTTGATGGAGATTTCTTGGGAGTTCTATAACTGATTTCTGTGTTTGTAAAATAAAGAATAAATCTCAAAACTCAATCCCCTCTGCCCTCTTCTTCTTTTCTCATTTCTGAATTGGTTGCGTTTTGACACATGACTTGTTATCGCGTCTTTGTCGTTGAAACAGATTGCGGATTCTTGATGATAATGATGATGAAGATGATTTGTTGAAGAATCAAGATTGATTGCACAGAGAGAAAGTTGAAAGGTGAGTGTTGAAATTTTATGTAATTCTTCTTATGAATGAATTGTGTGTAGAGGATTTGTTGATGAAATTGTTCTTGATGCAGAAATCGTGATGGTGATGTTGATGAATGATGAAGCTGCAAGCGGAATCGTGAAGAGGAAGCAGTTCTCCACGAAGATTAAAGAGAAAATCCAGATTCAGCCTAGTTCTTGTTGAAGGTTATTGAGGCTTGAAGGTGACTGAAGCAACTTTCAGAGAGAGAGAGAATACAGATTTTCTTGGTGAGTTTTCTATCTGATTTTTTTGTGAATCAATAAATTATGAATCTTTATGAATGAGTTCTCCTTGTGACTCTGGGTGAAGGAATCATGTTATGTTCAGAGGGGTGAAAAAGATGAAGGAGAATTGAGAAGGTCGTGAGTTTATGGTGATTTTCTATGTGAAAGTAAATAAAATAAAATCTAAAAAATGAATCCCCTTTGCCCTCTTTTTTTAGATCTATTTGTGATCTCTATTACCTATATGCCGGAAGTTTGTTATGGTTTGTTAAGTTAGTTATGGTTTGGGAAATGGAAAGTTGGTTATAGTTAGAAGTTAGGAAAAAGTTAGTTATGAATCTGTTAGTTTTGGTTGGTTAATGAAGAAATCAGTTAGCAGTTAGTTATAGATTATGGTGCAGTAAGTTACTTTGTTATAAAATTTATGTGCAGGGCTGCCTTTAGAGAATGGTTAGGGAAAATTATATTAGAAGTTTTTGGATTCAGTTGAATTCTGTTATATGTTGTTTGATAGTTAGTTCGGTTTTCTGTTTGAAGTTTGCTTGATTTTCTGTTACAGGTTATGGAGTAGTTATGGCAGGAATGAACTGGCTGGAGTAATGCTGAGGTTGTTAGTCGCGAATCTGGATGAGGCATGAAGATTGATTATGAAGATCACGCGAATGGTTACAAAGATTAGAAAAATGTAAAGCTTAGAGCCTTAGGTTTTAGTATATGCTTAGAACTGAACTTGTAATGTCTAACATGTTGTATATTTGTAATGTTTTCGGATCATGAATGACCTTGGCATATGATGATTTATTAGAATGAAATGCTTCAGACTCTAATTGGACTTTGAATGAATTTGGATAAGATTTTATCGATACTTGAATAACATTTCGAACGGAACTTCAAGTTTGAAGCTTGCCATGACAAAAAGATCCATACTTTATTTCCATCACTCAGAAATCCATGTTTATTATTCTTTAATGTTCGAATGAATAATGAGAAATTTGAACAAGCTTTTGTTGAATGATAATGATGAATGATGGATTTGGAAATGATTTAGTTTGGATAAACTTGGATAAAGGATGATGAATTTACGGATGAAGAGTTTGAACAATGTTGAACTTTATGCGAATGCCTTTGTGTCTTAGCCCTTATATTTCGCATCTTGCTTTCAAAAACATCCTTATGATCGAATACTTACCAAATTTTCATAATGGAACCACTTGAATCGACTTCAAATCCAAGTTATCTTGCATTCTCAATGAACCTCTAATTTTAATTCTCCAAATTCGAGCCAGATTTAACTTGCATGATAAGTAACTGATATCTAACAGAGTGATGATGTTTAGAATCCACAAACCATATCTTGTACCATGTATCCCGAGCAACCAAAGCATCACCCAAGCATCCTCAAACTCATAGACTCCTATCAGGAATCTGACCCTTGCAACGATGAAGATAAGTACAAAAATCTTAATTCAAAGCATTCTCATTTGAATCCGAGTCATTGAGAAGGTAGTAAACACTTGATGCTTTTGAAGGGACCTTAAAGATGGATGTCTTATAATATCCCGATGCAGGAAATTCTCAATGAATCATGCACACAAAAACCCTAGCTCCATAAGCCAAAGATTGTTAAGTAAATAACATGAATCAGCCTTGAATGAAAGTGAGACTCTTAAAGCCAAAGAGAAACCATACACCTCAAAATATTTGATCCCATGCCAAGTTATGTTGTTAGCGAATGTATGCAATGTTAAATGACCTAATGGAGTTATGTACATGAGAAAAGTGCGACAATGCGTAAACCAGATAAAAGTAGAAGGGTAGGACAAATTTGGGGTATTACAGCTTCCCCTATTTAATCGTCTTAATCCTTAAAGTACGATTGGCACATGCCTTTCGGAAGTTCAAGGTTGAAGATGATTAAATATCAATGCCAAAAATTTGTCCTGAGAGAGGGAGTAAGTGTTTTCTTTATTTATTTATTTGTGTTATCTGCTGGGGAAAAGAAATTTGTTTTTTTTTTCAATGAAGAGACAGGGATTGGACTTGTAACGTGGCTTGATGACAATACAAGATAAATGGTTGGTATGAAAAAGACAGCGGACGAGGTCTACGGGCGACCTACGATCCTAAGGTGACACATGAGAGTGATTTGACAGAGAACCTAGCCAAAGGGCGATCTCAGGTTCGACGATGATTTGAAGGAAGAACCTAGCCAAGAGGCAATCTCAGGTTCAACGATGATTTGAAGGAAGAACCTAGCCAAGAGGCGATCTTAGGTTCGACGATGATTTGAAGGAAGAACCTAGCCAAGAGGCAATCTCAGGTTCGACGATGATTTGAAGGAAGAACCTAGCCAAGAGGCGATCTCAGGTTCGACGATGATTTGAAGTAAGAACCTAGCCAAGAGGCAATCTTAGGTTCGACGGTGATTTGAAGGAAGAACCTAGCCAAGAGGCGATCTCAGGTTCGACGGTGATTTGAAGGAAGAACCTAGCCAAGAGGCAATCTCAGGTTCGATGGTGATTTGAAGGAATAACCTAGCCAAGAGGCGATCTTAAGTTCGACGGTGATTTGAAGGAAGAACCTAGCCAAGAGGCGATCTCAGGTTCGACGGTGATTTGAGGGAAGAACCTATCCAAGAGGCGATCTCAGGTTCGACGGTGATTTGAAGGAAGAACCTAGCCAAGAGGCGATCTCAGGTTCGACGATGATTTGAAGGAAGAACCTAGCCAAGAGGCTATCTCAGGTTCGACGATGATTTGAAGGAAGAACCTAGCCAAGAGGCGATCTCAGGTTCGACGGTGATTTGAAGGAAGAACCTAGCCAAGAGGCGATCTCAGGTTCGACGATGAAAACATGGGTTACGACATGATGATTGTTTATATAAACGACACGGACGAGCATCAAGAAAGTTTCAACACGGACGAGTGTTTGAATCAATACGGACGAGTATTGAAAGAAGATACGGACGAGTATCCAAGGTTAAACACGAACGAGTGTTTGAATCAATACGGACGAGTATCAAAGGTTAAACACGGATGAGTGTTTGAATCAATACGAACGAGTATTGAAAGAAGATACGGACGAGTATCAAAAAGTATAAACACGGACGAGTGTTTGAATCAATACGGACGAGTATTGAAAGAAGATATGGACGAGTATCAAAAAGTTAAACACGGACGAGTGTTTGAATCAATACGGACGAGTATTGAAAGAAGATACGGACGAGTATCAAAAAGTTAAACACGGACGAGTGTTCGAATCAATACGGACGAGTATTGAAAGAAGATACGGACGAGTATCAAAAAGTTAAACACGGACGAGTGTTTGAATCAATACGGACGAGTATTGAAAGAAGATACGGACGAGTATCAAAAAGTTAAACACGGACGAGTGTTTGAATCAATACGGACGAATATTGAAAGAAGATACGGACGAGTATCAAAAAGTTAAACACGGACGAGTGTTTGAATCAATACGGACGAGTATTGAAAGAAGATACGGACGAGTATCAAAAAGTTAAACACGGACGAGTGTTTGAATCAATACGGACGAGTATTGAAAGAAGATACGGACAAGTATCAAAAAGTTAAACACGGACGAGTGTTTGAATAACTGACCCGGGTGGGTGTTTAGGAAAGGACACGGACAAATGTTTAGGGAACCAACTACCAGATAAGAACTGGGTTTAGAACGGCAAAGTGTATTGATTTTGTTTGGCATTGAAAAGGTGAAGGTCAACGACTGGGGACTTCGGGCATGATATCCTTCTGTAGGGATGTATTGTTGTCCTTTAATAATTCAGGTCTTTCGTGTAAGGTACCTGGTCTGGCTTATGCTTTGTATGCATGTTTGAATTTCTTTTGATGCAAAGATCCACTCTGATGGATCAGCTACGCGCTTTTGAGGATGCAATGATATGTAATGATAACTATATGCAATGCGAAGAAATAAACTTCATGGGGATAAAAGAAGGCTTGATGGGAGCCATTACTCATCACTGGGGATGTCAATACATATCGACGTTGGAAGCCTATAGTATCAAAGGTTGTTGGGGATACTGATAAAAATTTTCCCTGGGGAGACCATGATACCGAAGATTGTTGATGACTCTGTTGGAGATTGAATTACCGACGGAACGAGTCTTCAGGTACGATGCTAGATTCTGAATCATACTGTTGGGAAGAGATAACCTGGCCAGACTTCCAAACATCCTGAACTAGTGAATATGCCGAAGAATGGATACTGAACACCATGTGGATCTCTCTGAATACATGCCCCAAGTTTACGCACACTGGGGAATTATCTCTTGAATCACTTGAGGAATAAGAGATGGGCGCAGACACTTACGAGTACCCCGGTTAAACTCTGCGAATGCCCCGATTTAGCTTCGTGAATGCCCCGGTTTAGCTCCATTGGGGATGTTCTTGATTAACTCCACTGGGGATGCACTTGCACATGCCGAGTCAAAAGACGATTATAGACTTTCTGAGTTCACTTGGGGAATCAGATCCGAAGTTGACTGTAGTAGATGGAGGCAACTTTGTGCACTGGCTAGGTCAGGGTGACCGTTATGGTGCTTTTATCTTGATCGTAGTCTCGTACAACATAATTGACTTGAACAACTAAGTACGGATGAGGAATGCCCCTGTCTGGAGGATCTCTGGGAAGATCTAGGTTGAATAGAAGACCAGAAGGTTCGTGCCACAATACGATATGAGGTGGCCTGCCCCAATGTTTTGAGCCACGAAACAAACTGCTCTTGATTATAACTTTTTTGGAGAGATTTGTCGAATCTCGACGTAACTGCCCCAGGTTGAATGAATTATGAATAGATCTCTCGACGTGATAGCCTCTGATTGATCGAGCTTGAAGAGATTTATCGACGTGATGGCCACTGATTAACAGCTTGAAGAGATTTATTGACGTGATAGTCTCTGATTGATCGAGCTCTGAGGGAATGCCCCAGATTTGGCTGAGCTTGGAGAGATTGATTCTCGACTTGATTGCCCCAGATTGACAGGCTCTGCTAACTTCATCCCTGAATTGTGCTCATATTGTGAAGTACCAAGATGATTTCTCTTGACAGAATCACCGATCAACATGCTACTAGATAAGTCATTTCTCTTGTGGCAGTTGACTCTTGCTTCCACAGGGTATTCAAGCCTCTCTTCTCTGACAAGATTGAGATCTTCACCGATTGTTCATTATGCAAACTTACTTGATGTCAATCAGTTGTTTTGTATGCAGAGGAATGTTTATTATTAGAATGATAATTCTAATGTAACAAATATGTAAGTCTTGAAGTTTGAAAAAACTTTGAATGAAATGACGTCACAACTCTGTTGTGAACGAGTCACTAGCTAGAGAGAAACATTTGCAAATTCTTTTTTCATGAAAGATAATGCAAGCATATGATGCCAACACAGATATTGGAACGTACCTCTTAGGAGTCAGTTAAACGCTATCTCGTTGTAGCACGCTTGCAAATTGACCCATGCTTCAATTAGGACTTTTATGGGTTGTAACGTGGCCTGGTTCACGATTTTTAGAAAAAAGGATTTAAGGCTCAAAATTATTTGGTGCCCACCCATTCTCCATGATGTTCTCCATTCCTACGTTCAGTTGACCCGATACAAGC